AGTTCGGCCTGGGGACTCGGCTCTGGCGCCCTTGGCCCGCCAAAGGGAGCCGCTTCCCCTCGGGGGCCGCGGTGCTGGGGGCCGCGGTGCTGGGAACCCGGGCCACCAGTGTGCGCTCGGACTCCAATGCCCGGAGGCTCTGCTCCGACCCGTCCGCGCGGGGGCGCCCCGCCTTCTCCCCTACTGCGGGGAAGGGAGCGCGGCCGGGTGCTGGAGGACCGAGGCGCCCCGGGGACCCGAGCCCAGCTGTTTCGGGGACACTCCTACCTCTCCCCCTCCCCCGAGGATCCTGGAGGGCGTCCGGAAGGTGGGGTCCCCCCGCCAGCCACCGTCGCAGCTGCCAAAGGCGTGAGGTCGGGCAGGCTGCCGGGCGCGCCCCTTTAGCCCACTCCAAGCCCCACCCCAGCCCTGCCCCGGGAACTGCCCCAGGGCCCGTCCCCAGCCCCGGAAGGCGAGCGAAGAGGGGGAGTGGAGCTGGGCAGCTTCCCAGAAGTCGGAGTGTGTTTGCAAACTAGTTTTTGCGCAAAAGCTGTCTGGCACCTATGTGTTTAAAAGGTGGGGGAGGGAAAGAAAGAGGCCCTTTCTTCCTTCCCGTCCCTGCAGCGATGCTTCTTCTTCTCGGAATTTAGAGGGGTCTTACTCTCTTCTTCCTCACGCTTCCCATCTCCTTCTTCAGCGTCGCCCCTTCCGGTTCGGAAGCTCTTCTTTGGGTGGGGGGGGCTCCAGCATCAGGAGACTGAGATCTGCCCAAGGCCACAGGTACAAGAGGAACCCAGGCTCCGGTAGCTAGTGAGGGGTCCCTCTTGCTGTCTGACTTCCCTCTTCCCTCCACCGTAGGTATTTGGGGGGGAAGGAACAAGGTCTGGGGGAATTAGACCAGCTACCCATTGTTTTATCTGCTCTCAGGTTTCCATCAGGTAGGAGTGTGGACTGTCACTTAGCGGTGGAGACCTAGTTCTGCCCCTTGGGGCATCCACAGCTTCTGTGGCCATGGCCTTACTGCCAGACAGGCTCACCTGGAAAAAGTCCCCAGCCCAGGGTCACTCCGCTCCCTGGTGGAGGACTCTCCCCATCTTCCCTCCTCCATCCCCTATGGAAGGCACTGGGGCTGCTGAGTCAATAATCCAGCCCCCTTCCCCTTGGAGAATATGGCCTCAGAGAGGACACAGTGTGGGCTCCATGGGAGCCACCTGGAGACTGGGTCACCCTGATCTTGGCAGGCAGGCAACAGATGGAGGGGGTGACCATCTGATCATGCCTCACTCCTCACTGTCCAGGAGGGAGGTTGTGGTGTTCCCCAGTGCCTGAGGACTGAGCCGAGTTCAGAGGTACCTTCTGGATCCCAGCTCAGTGTCCTCTGCCCAGCCAGGGCCTCCTGGCTTCAGGAGGAGAGGTCAAGGAGATTGCTGTAGTGGGTAAATGGTGGGGAGCCTTCGCTCATGGGAAAGCAGGCATTTGGCCAGGGTTGTGATCTTTGGCAGCTGGAGACTACCTGTGGACAGCCCCAGTGGGGGGCCACAGGAAACCTGGCTCTGAATGCTGCCTCTGACCAGCAGCAGAACCATGGCCCCAATCCTCTGAGCGCTTGTGTCATCATCTGTAAAATGGGCTCATCACTCAGGGTCTGCCCAGAGCCTAGGCAGGAGCATAAAGGAGTGGTTTTATGTGAGCCATCTGGCAGGGGGCCCAGTGAGCTCTGGGATTGCCCCCAGGCAGGTGACACAGGCTGCTGGAGTGGGAGGGGTCACCCAGGCAGATTTCTCCAAGGAGAGATGGTGGGGGTGCAAAGGATAAGGAGGCTTGGGTTCTCCTTGCCTCTGTGACTTCCTGTCTTCCTGCTCTTCACCCCCTCCTGGGACTCTGGGGTTTTTCCATCTATAAAATGAAGCAAAGTATGACATGATGGAATTCACAGCCTCCTGGGAGGCTGGGGCCAGGGAATGGGGGACACGTATGCAAAGTGGGGAGCACTTCATGAGCGACAAGTATGGTGTCTCAGGTGGTGTTTCAAGGGCTCCCCAACCCGGGATGCCTGGAGATTTTAAATTGAGGTGCAGAAGTGAAGAAGAGGTCGGGACGGAGCCTCAGTTTCTCTTGTCAGCTAGAGGAAGCGGATGCTGGAGACCTTCATCTTCTTTCAGAATGATGGTGTGTTTCTTTAAATGTCCTGGTGGGATGGAGTTGGATGGTGAGGGGCCTGTGTGCCGGCACGGCACCGTGACTGGTGACCACTAGCTATCGTGATCCTTGTTCACAGGGACATCAGTGAGCCCAGTGCGGTAACTGCATTCAGGAGCCCCCCTGGGATTCTCCGAGGCAGCCCGCTCCGCCCCAGCCCTCCCTGGAGACAGGAGCCATGCAATCCAGACACGGAGAGATCGCTGTTTATGTCTTAAAATTTTTGTTTCTCCACTTGCTGGTCCATATCTTCTTCCTCTGGGGTCTGAGATGAGACTAATTAGGATAGCACCACTGTCCCACTGTGACATCACCTTGCTTTATTTATCTTGGGGCATTTGCCACTAAGATCACCCTAATTGTTTATTTGTACCTCAGTTTATTATCCACCCCCTTCATCAAAGGGTGTCAGTTCCATTAAAAAGAACAAGGACAGGGCTATGTCCCTATACTTAGAACAGCACGTGGCACACAGTAGGTGCTCAATAAATGTTCTTGTTTTGTAGCCCCTGCTAAATGAAGTCTGTGAAGGTGGGTGAAGGAGATTGGAAGAATTATGAGCTTGCCCTCAAGTCTCTGGAGGGATCCCAGTATCACTATGCTGAGGGCGGGGGCGGGTGAGTGGGGATCACCAAGAGCAGCGGAGTCACCCAGGGCAGGGGCAGGGACAGGTGTGTGTCTGAGAGAAGGTGAGATTCAGCCTGCCCTGAAAGAATGGGGAGTAGGCATCACCTTCTGCCATTGCTTGCCCCCCCCCATAGGGGAGGGGTGGAGGGAGGGGTCCGAGGTGCTCTGGGAAGAGTCACCCATTCCCTGTGTGGCCTGAACAGTTTCTTGGTTAACCTCTTTGACCTCAGTTTTGCATGTAGGAAATAGGCGTCCTAAGAACAGGAAATTTCCTTTCCGCCTGCAGTCACCCATTTCCTGTACAGCAGGTCTGGGTCAGAGAGTGTGCTGTATATGTCGGTGACAATCATGGTCAAGGCAGATTCAGCGCCTGAGCTGCGGAGCTTGGAGTTGGGGGTGGGGGACCGAGATGAGCAAATTACCCCAAAAAAAGGGTCATAAAGAGTCAAAGAGTCGTAAAGACAGTGACTGCCATGGGGCGGCGCAGCGGCAGTGAGGGAGGCCTCTCAGGGAGGCAGCGACCTTTGAGCTGAGATGTTAAAGGACTGGAACCCACGGGAGCAGGGCATTGGTCTCTGTCGTGGCTGCGTCCCAGCTGTACCTGGGGCAGGTAGGTGCTCAGTGGATGTCTTTGAATGGACGAAAAAAGAACAAGGGCCCAGGATGGAGGAGACAGCCCGGGCAGAGGCCCTGGGGTGGGGACGTGGAGCATTCTAGGAGCCCATTCTCCCCACAGTTACGCTGTCTCCCTGGATGGCTTTTGCGGCTGACCAGGAGCTAGGGACATCTGGCCTGCCCAATGTGTCTTGCTGTCTCTCTCCAAGACACAGGGGAGAGCGTGCTCAGCTCCCTGCAGATGTCTCCTCCCCCCCTCCCTGGGCCGGACAGTCTTTCAGGCCATGTCCCGGGGACCAGCCCCAGAGGGTGCTGACAGCAGAGCACGGGCTGCGGGGTGGCCGCCTGGTTTCCGACTCTGGTTTTCAGGGACTGTAGAGCTTGAACCAACAGATATCGTTCTCTCCAGTGCTGGAAGCTGCAGCTGGACATGGAGCCAGGCTCCGGGGAGCCCTCCCCACGTGCTGCAGGCCCTGGTAGGCTTGAGCGTCCCTTGGCATGTGGCACGTGGCATGTGACATCGCAGCTCCAGCCTCTGCCTCCTCCTTCACATGGCCATCTTCCCTTGCACCTTCACACTGTCCTCTTCTAAGGTCATCAGTCACGTGGGATTCAGGGCCACCCCACTGCAGAATGACCTCATCTTCACTAATTACATCTGAGACTCCCATATTCCCCACTAAGTTCACATTCCAGGTGTGGGGGCATCTGTGGGGGGCACGGTCCAGCCTATAATAGGTGGGTTATGAAACTTCTGTGTCTTTGTTCTCTGATTTATAAAATGGAGATAATGGCAGGGCCCATCTCCCGAGATAACGGGGAGACCTACGCCCTTCCAACAGGACCAGGTGTGCAGAGGCATCCGGTCAGGGCTGAGTCCCGTCTCCAGGAGTGGAAGAAGCTAGCAGTGCCCTCTCCACAAGGCCTGGCCCGAGGAGGGCCTGGGCCTGGGGTTGGGATACTTCCCTAGGCCTTTTACCTGGTGCTGGGCTCAGAGCCCCACCACTGGCTGGCTGAGGATGTGGGGCTCTTTGGCATGCCAGGATGTGGGGTGGGCAGCCTGAGGGCACTGAGTACAAGGAGCCGTGGAAAAGATGGCAGGGACCTCCTCTCCTGAGGGATGTACCCAGTGCACAGCCACCGCAGGGGCCTGCGGAGGAATTCTGGGGCTGAACGAGTCCCGATGGCCTTCCAGGCCCGCGAGCTCGGAGATTGTGGGTGGAACTTGGGACTAGAAGCCCAGAGCAGCCCACGGAGGACAAGGGGCATCTGTAGCCCCAGCCGCAAGGCTGGAATGAGCAGGGAGATGGAGACGCCCAGGAGAAGGAGCCTGCCTGGGTTCACCCTGGGGACTAGGAGCCTCCTGGCACCTACTGCCCCGTGGCACTCCTCTGGGGGGTGGGGGCGGGGGACACCACCCGGAGGACTCTGGGGCTGTGTCCCGATCTCTGACCCTCTCCAAAGCTCCCTTTGAGTGAAGCCACATTTGAATAACTTAGGCCCTGTGGTCACCAACCCTCCACCAGCCTGGCCTTCCATCTAAGCCTGGCCAGACCTACTCCCAGAGTCCCCACAGCACTCAGTGCAGCCTGGAGAAATCCGTGCCCATCCCTAGGGCTTCCTGGGAGGCAGAGGCAGGAGGCAGGGTACCGCCAGCCCTTTTGGCAGATGACAAGCCGAGGCCCTGAAGGGAGAGGTGGTGAGAGCAGGAGTGGCCCTCACCTGTGGCCTCCCTGGGCTGGGGGAGGCTGCCTGTCCACCTGCTGGGCTGGTCCCTGCAGTGACAACCTGGGGAGACTCCAGCCGAGTGCTCCGGTGCAGGGCCTGGGGCTCCCGGAGGGCCTCCCCCACAGGCCAGAGCTTGGTGACTAGGCGGGGATGGCGGGTAGCTTCCCTGAGTGTGGCCTGGCCGAAGCCCGCCCGGGGGACATCAGATCCGACCCCCGCTGCCTCCTCCTCGCCTTGCTGTCTGCGTC